TAATACAATTCTATGGCGAAAAAAATTAATTATGAATTTGCAAAGAATGGACCCAAAGGTGTCCGAGTTTAATGTCGATATAAGAAAACATATGAACGCCCTTGGATGTTGTTTGCCTCTCCTGTTAAAAATAAAAAAGAATTGAAATTAAGAAGTTTATGAATGAACACAGTTTTTGACAACATAGTAACTTGTCAGGACGATCATGGGCATATCGCATTCATAGCAGCCCAAATGCATCCTGCATTGAAGGTTTTTCTCACCACCAGAGTCTTACGTTTGTTGTTAATATCACATATAATTAACATGTAACGCTCAAAGTTAACAGATTTCTGTGAAAGTTAAGAGGTAAGTCTAAAAATTAACCGTGTAAGCTAAAAGTTAACATGATGCTGATATAGTTAACATGCAACACAAATAGACAACTTCAATTACACAAGTACATTATATTAAAACTCTTACATTCTTGCAGCTGATATTGCTTAAATACATGATATGATTAGACTTACAATCTTAGAAATTACAAAAATCTTCTACCATATGCTACAAAAATCTGGCCAACCTACATTGCTCTACCAAAAGTATTGTACTAATAAGCAATCCACACTAATCACCAATTGGTTCATTACAATTAGATGTGACCTTCAACTTTGCATCGAGAACATTTTAGTGGACGTTTGTAAATTATTTTGTTGTTTATACGTTTAGTTCTATTTCTTCCCTTCCTTTTAGTAGTAATTAGTGGCAATATCTCGATTTTATCTCTTGACACACTTCGCTTCTCATAATCTGGGATGAGATAAAAGACTTGGTCATAGCTTTTTTTAAACGCTTCTACGAAGATAACGTAGTAAGAGTTAACATGTTTGGGTGAAAGTTAACATAAAGCAGCGAAAGTTAATATTCAGTAGGAAAAGTTAACAGACTAAGAGGAAAGTTAACACGTTCAGTTAAAAGCCAATATATAACTATGATAGTCAAAAGAAAACCCTCAAAGTTAAAATGTTCTGGTAAAAATTAACAGATAGCTATGATACTTAACACACGACAAGAAGAGTTAACATGTAACCGTTAAAGTTAATATTTAAGATTCGTCTATGCTGTGGAATCTGAAATTACAAAACTAACACACGCAAAGCCAAATTTTAAAAAGAGTTTATTAATTAATTGCATTTCAGTTAGAACTTTCTGATTTCTTTCAAAAATATAATCATTTATATTAACAACAACTTGCATATGAATCTTCATACAACCACTATTTCGATTATGCTCTATTGTGCACTTCAAATCATCTTCACTATCAACAGAAATACTCAAATTTGGGTGCCTCTCAGATTTATATATCAATGATAAATCATCTTGAGAGACTTTTAATCTTTCGAACACGTCGAATTTTAGTTCAAAAAAGCTTGTTATAAAACTTTGCATTGACAACATAGCCTTCTCGCCTAACGGCACCATGCAAGTCAAGTCACAAATGTAAGAGTCTTGGTGGATAAAATCCGGTCCACTTTTCATGCACAACAGGGCCATCGTTGCCTCGTTACTGATCTCATCCTCGGATGAGGGAGACGTCGGAGAAGAAGAACCGACGGCAGAGTATAACGATACAGAGGAGGAGACAGATGATTCTCAAAGAGCCTCCTTTGTCGTCGGATCAGAGGGACACCGATGATGACCAACTTCGAAATAGGTGTCATCTCCTTCACTCTTCTCCAAATTGGTTTTCGGCCATTTTCCACTTTTTTTAAAAAACTTTTGAGGGATCTTGTGGAGGGTTGAGTTCAAATCTAGGATTTTTTTTTGGGTTCTCTTGAGCTTACAGGAGTCTAAGCGAGAGGAGAGAGGGGAGAGAGAGCGCGCGTCAGTTTTTGGGGAGGGTTAAGGGGTATAGTTTCTAGGGGAATGTAGGGTTAGGAGAGAGGAGGAGAGAAGAAGAGGAGAAAGGAGCAATTATGGGAGAGGAGGAGAAAGACACAGAAAAGAAGAAGAAAAGGAAAATGGGTATTTTCGAAAAATTTTAGGGTTAATTTTTAGGAGAGAGTGAAAAAGGACTAGATCACAATTTCTTGGGTCTTTTGGAGTTAAGGGGCTGTTTGGTTCGTTTCCTTGATATAGAGAAATGTAATTCCATGTAAAGAAATACAAGTTTTGAGTTTTTCAAACTTTTCCAAGAAATAGATTGTTTTGCTTTGGTTCGCACATAAAAATGGTGAGAAACCAATGTATTTATTTTTCTTGTGTTTGGTTCGCATAGAAAAAAAAGGAAAACTTTTATAAACAAAGCAGAGAGAGAAAAAATCTGACGTGGCAAAGTTTTCATCAATTTCACTCGGTTGGGGTTAGGGAAAATTGCAATGAAAAGAACAAAAAAATTGACTTGTATTCCTTTGATTCTGATTACAATTTGATTACAAAAGAGGAGAGAACGAATTTGATTCTCTCCTTTGTTTAAAACTGGGTTCTTCTCGGTAGCGATGGAATGCCTCCTTCGATTGCTCGCGTCGAATTTGCTCTCCGTTGACGATCCGACCGTCTTCTATCTCATGGGAATGATGAACTTCTGTGGAAAGTTTAATGGATAACTCTGAATGAGTTTAAGAACTCTAAACGAGTTAGAACTCTGTTAATAGAGTTGTTAGAACCGAAAATTCGGTTAATGACCAAGCTGATATTCTGTTGTTGAAGAATCCTCTCAGATTTGATCTTCTGAATTTGATTCAAAAATCCTATCTCCAAGGATTTTACTGCTGCTGCTGTTGAATCACTAAACCTGAGTGGTTGAGATCCTGAAAATCCAACCTGCTGCCAACTCTCCCGTTCCAAAAAAGTCAGCACTTAACTCAGTTGAGTTTGTTGAGTTTTTATAGGGGGATCAGAGGTTGTAACTGCCCTCTAAATCCGCTCCTGAGTGGGCGTGATTTCCTCAGATCGTGGGGAAAACAGTTCTAAAACCGTTCGACTCGTATTTGAACGAGTCAAACGCCCAATCTGGCGTTCAAAACCCAACGTCGCCTCTTAGAATTGAGACGCGAGGTTGGGTGTTGGCTGAACATCATTGAACGCGAGGGTCGCTCGCGTTTTGATTTGTTGTAGTTTGGGAACGCGGGGGTCGGTGTTGGTTGAACCCCTACGAACGCGAACGTTTAGCTTGTGCTTGGAAACGCGGGGGTCGCCTGCACTTCCAGAATTGTAACGCGGGGATGACATCCGCGTTTTAGAAGGAGCTAGTTGACTTGTAACTTCTTCTGTAAAGCGTTGCAAGGACCGTTGTTCAGTAATCCTAGCTTTAGCTGTTGTGGAGTGTGAAAGTCGTCAGATTGTAACTTTCACTGCAGAATGTGAAGACTGCTGAATGGAGTTTTCATCAGTTGTCGGAAGTGTCGTTGAATTATAACTCTTCTCGATCTATGTGAAAAGTCCTTCATTTGTAGCTTTCGATTGTCGGCGCGAAAGCTATTTGATTGTAGCTTTCGTTGTTGGAACTTGACGGGAATCAACATCCATAGTGTTTTTAGATGAATATTTGCCCACAACTCTCTACCAAGCAACTCACCAACTACGTCCAACCTTTTATTTCTAAAATCATTACACTGCTCATCAGCATCTCTAATAGTTGCTAATATAATATTAGTCATGTTGTTGTCGCAACCATCAAGATCAATCATCTCAGAAATGAGGCCGTGTTTGTAGCGGTCGCAGAGTCGCAGATACAGCGATTAGAAAGTTGTTTAATTATGACTTCCATTGTCGGAGCTTGATAGGGATCAGCTATCCATTGTGATTTTTTAGACAGCCTACAGGAAGGAAATCGGAGAGGGAAAAAATCTGAGCTGACGGCGATTTCAGCAGAATTTTCCCTCTTCCATCTGAGCGAACCAAAGCGTCACAAAGAAATAGACGGAAACAAAAAAAACTGACGTGGAGGGCTAAAAATCTGACGTGGAGGGGTTTTCTGAGTTTTTCAACCTTTATAATAGCGAACCAAACAGCCCCTAAAGCACATGGGAAAACTTCAAGGGGCTAAGCCACAAGAGCTTTCTATTTTTGGGGTCTTACACATTTTCCCCTATTTTTTTCAATAAAAGAGATTGGATGGTTTTACGCACTAGAGTTACCATTTATAGGAGAAAGTTTTCTTTCTGCTGATGAAAACTGTTAACTCTATATTTACTCGATGCAAGGTCAAAAGTCATGACAAGCGACAAAATTTATTCTATATTTATTCTATGGATGAAACGCATGGTTGAAACGGATACCCACATTTGTATCCTCGAGTCACATTGTTACAATATTAAGTTGAGGAAAATCTGCCGTGTCTTATTCTCAACCGATTCTTTTTCCCCTTTTTCCCCGAATCAACCACCAAAAGTTGACATATAACGAAAGTGGAAACACACTATCCAAGCCATTTGATCTCTACCATCTCTACCGAGTAATGATCAGAATAGAACAAGAAATGTAAACATCCATCGTATACGACTCCTTCTAGTTACGCCAGGATCTATTTGTTTCGTGGAATTCTCAGGAATTCATGAAAAAAGTAGATCAGGCACGCGCACACACCCCGATAGTTTTCTTCAAAAACACTCAAATAGTTCTGCCTTAAGCAAGATCTTTAACCAAAATTTCATATTTATTTCGATAGCAAGTTTGCTAAGTGAATGAAATTTGCTAACACATAAGGAAATTTCTATGTTAGAATTATTCTCCTCTCAGGAATTCGTAGAGAAATACAAAAAAAAAAAAAACTTATATTCAATTTTCTGATCAACCAAATAAAAAAACATGGTGATTTTGAAAATTTTTGGTACCAAATTGGATGGACACATTTGGTTATTGTCATAAATCAACGGCCTGTTACCATGTTGATCCACAAAATCTTCTTGTACCTATGTTTTTTGCTTACACACTATGGATGACAAATAGAAATCCTATCAAAACACCCATCAAACTTTCCATGTTTGGGATCTTTATGGATTAGAACACCCCGCACCTACTCGTGGATGACTGGTTAAACAGACTTTTCATATGCTGGCTGTTACTATGGTATCTGTAATCTTCGTCAACAATGTATATCAAAGATTAAAATATGTAATACAAACATTTACCTAATTGCATGATATATACGCTATAGAATTCCCCAATAACACAATTCAAGACTTCTCAACGTTCCTGAGACGCACAGCCACTAGAATTCACAAGCATGGGGACATTCTGGTGGAGGACATGAAGAGCTCAGTTACTCCAACATCAAATCAAAGAAGACACAAATGTCAGTACTAATAATTGAGACACTGATTGTGGCCGATACTCGATCAACATCAAACTTGTAAGGAAAATAGTACCTTCTTTGGACTGGCATCCAACGACTATAATAAACAGTGACAAAGCGTGGGTAAAATTAATGATGCGCCTCATTGGTCAGTTTCTTGTCTTTGGAGGATGGTAAAATTCTGGCCTATAGCTTTTCCATTTCTGTAGACAAGAAGAATTTGAATAGTTCAATCTGGTACAGTTAAATTTATAGGTGGTAGATATATCTCTTTATAGTACAGTTGCGTATAACAAATAATTTACTTGTTTGGGCATCAAGGGGATTGAAGACACTCACTCGAAGTTACGTGTGACATTCTCTTAATTCTAGTGGGCATATACTCTACAAACTTCCTTTCTGAACGAAGACTGTAGTTTGGTCTTGAATCTGAAACAACCAGAGACTTGTCATGACTCAGCCCTAAGAGAATAGGAGGCTTCCCTATAGCATATCGAAATATTAGAGGATCTCTTTGCAATACATTTTTGTCACTTGAAACCCAAATGAATGGGTACATATTACGCAGATATAACTCTATTTGGTCATCAAACTTCTGAGTGCCTCACCTATAGCATTATAGGGCACGCATCAATAATTAACCCTATTTGTAATGGGCTAAATTACTAAATTGGTATTTAAAGTAGACCCTCTTTGCCAATAAGGTATTTACAAAAACTCCGACGACATTATGGTATTTCATTGTGACTCTATTTACCGATAAGACACTATTTCTCAAAATTCCGGCAGGAAAATTTATTTTAGGGAAAATTGTGTTGAGGCCCCAAAAGTAGGGACTTCATGTGACCAGCCCCCTTGTATTTTGGCCCATATGATTCAGTCCCAAAAAGTATTATTTAATATTTCAAGCCTCTCCATGTCAGCAATACAAAAAAAGAGATTGTGTTTTGAAAAAAAAAATCTGAAATTATCCCTCCACTTATCTTCCCCAAACGCATGGTCTCCAAAAACATGGAAAGTCGCGTCCATTAATGCGATCTGACGAAAAAAATGGAGGAAAATTTTCTGTCTTTTTTTAAACTCTATCATGAGCAATAACTCATGTTAGTTCTAAGTTATTTAATGTTAATTCTAATTTATTTCATGTTAATTCTAACTTATTTCATGTTAGTTCTAATTCATGTTAAAGCTTAACTTTAAGTTAGTTCTAATTCATGTTAAAGCTAACTTTAAGTAGAACTAACATAAATACTTTAGGCTACTTGGTTTAGTGGTAAAGCTTGGGAATTTGGAGAGGGTGTCAGGAGTTCAAACCCCTGGAGCTACAATATAATTTGAAGGTCTTTGTTTGGGCCTTGGGTCTCTTATGTTAGTTCTAACCCACGGTATGTTAGTTCTAACTCACCGCATGTTAGTTCTAATTCACGTTAGTTCTAGGCTTTTGGACTCTTATGTTAGTTCTAACCCACGGCATGTTAGTTCTAACCCGCCGCTTATTAGTTTTAGTTCTAATTCATGTTAATTTTAGGCTCTTGGGCTCTTATATTAGTTCTAACCCACGGCATGTTAGTTCTAACCCACGATATGTTAGTTCTACACACCGCTTGTTAGTTCTAGTTTTAATTCATTTTAGTTCTAGACTATTGAGCTCTTATGTTAGTTCTAACCCACGACATGTTAGTTCTAACTCACCGCACGTTAGTTCTAGTTCTAATTCATGTTAGTTCTAGGCTCTTGGGCTCTTATGTTAGTTCTAACACACGGCATGTTAGTTCTAACTCACCGCTTGTTAGTTCTAGTTCTAATACATATTAATTCTAAGCTCTTGGGCTCTTATGTTAGTTCTAACACACGTCATGTTAGTTCTAACCCACGGCATGTTAGTTCTAGTTCTAACTCACCGCTTGTTAGTTCTAGTTCTAATTCATGTTAGTCCTAGGCTCTTATGTTAGTTCTAACCTACGGCATGTTAGTTCTAACTCACGACATGTTAGTTATTTAGTTCTAACTCACTGTATGTTAGTTCTAACTCACCACTTGTTAGTTCTAGTTCTAATTCATATTAGTTCTAGACTAACTCACCACTTGTTAGTTCTAGTTCTAATTCATATTAGTTCTAGACTCTTGAGCTCTTATGTTAGTTCTAACCCACGACATGTTAGTTCTAACTCATTAGTTCTAATTCTAATACGTGTTAGTTCTAAGCTCTTGGGCTCTTATGTTAGTTCTATCTCACGGCATGTTAGTTTTAACCCACGGCATGTTAGTTCTAACCCACGGCATGTTAGTTCTAACTCACCACCCGTTAGTTCTAGTTTTAATTCATGTTAGTTCTCGGCTATTGGGCTCTTATGTTAGTTCTAACACACTGCATGTTAGTTCTAACTTACCGTTTGTTAGTTCTAGTTCTAATTCATGTTAGTTCTAGGTTCTTGGACTTTTATGTTAGTTCTAACTCATGGGATGTTAGTTCTAACTCGCCGCACGTTAGTTCTAGTTCTAATTCATGTTAGTTCTAGGCTCTTGGGCTCTTATGTTAGTTCTAACCCACGGCATGTTAGAACTAACATAATATCCATTAGAACTAACACGAAATCCACTAGAACTAACACATATATTAGAACTAACATGATATCCATTAGAACTAACACAAAAATAATATCTTCTTTTTTAAATATAATAATATTATACATAGCATAATTTTTGACCGAGGAATTTACGCACCTAGGAATAAAATAATATTATACATAGCATAATTTTTGACCGAGGAATTTACGCACCTAGGAATAATTGTTAGAACCAACGTCAATTTAACACCTCACCGAGGAATTTACGCACCTAGGAATAATTGTTAGAACCAACGTCAATTTAACACCTCCTAAATTTTCCATATTTTTCCATCCAAACATCTCCCACAATTTTTACATACAGACCAATAAATTAAAATCAAAAACATCCAAAAAACCCCAAACCCCAACCAGTGCCAGCCCTTGTCGTTCTTCTTTTCCGATCTCGCCATTCTATTGTCTGCCTTTGCATTTTCATAAGGGTTTGAGTGGCTTCCTCCGCGCTGTCAACCCCAGATGAACCGTCTTTGTCCTTCAGCTCGTCGTGATGAACGACTTCGTAGTTGTTAACGGATTTTGCTTCCCTGGACGATATTTTTCCGACGAAAAACCTAGCACTGTTGAAATCTGACGAGAAAATTAAAAATTCGAGAGTTTCGGTGGCTCCTAAGCAGTGGAAGAGAGAGTTTGTGTGTGTGTACTTGAATAAGGAGGGGACGCAATAACCGAGTTCAGTCCCATCAAAGGGGCAAGCTTGTAACTTCCACTAGGCTTTTTTTGAAAACCGATACTTTTGAGGCATCGTCACAAATACTGTGTATTTGGAGCTTATTCACATGGGGCAGAATACAAGGGGTCTCGTCATATGAAGTTTCCGCTTTTGGGGTCTGGACACATTTTTTCCTTTATTTTAAGTTTTTAACATCCTTACCTCCCAAAATTATTAAATCTATGCCCATAATTATCAAAAAAAAGCATCCCCTCCCTCTCCCTCTCCCTCTCCCTCTCCCTCTCCCTCTCCTCCTCCTCCTCTCCCATTCCCCTCTCCTCCCCTCCTCATCCCCACCACGATCCCCGCCTTCCCCGAGCAATCCGCCATAACCTCATCCTCATCCTACCCCTCCTTCTCCTTCCCCCCCGACCTCCTCCCCTCCCTCTCCTTCTCCTCCTCCTGCCTGAATTTTCAAGGAAGAGGATGTGAATTTAATAATTTTGAGAGGTTAGGGAGGAAAAAGAAATTTTCCTGCCAGAATTTCAAGGAAAATGGTCCTATTGGTAAGCATGGCCTTAATAAAATATCATAATGTCGCCGGAGGTTTTTTAAATACCTTAATGGCAACGAGAGTCTAATTTAAATACCAATTTGGTAATTTAACCATTTGTTATGTCCTGCAGGTCCTGCAACAATGTAGAACTCTGATTATTCAATTCTTGAGACTATTATTCAAGAAATTTTTACAGCTCTCTGGCCCTAAGTATGGCATCTTCAGTTCAATACACGCAAAGCTTCTGAGTGAATGTAGGAAGTTAAACTCACCACAAAACCTAAGCATTGAAGTTCCTATCAGTGCCAAAGATAGGTCACACTAATCGTGCATGCAAAACAAATTGCCCTTTTCTAAATTGACTGATTCATTTAGCATGTCACTACCTCAGGAATTAAAAACAGATACATTAACAATTCGCTCTTGTAGAACGCAGATATAAGGATAACCTACAACATGGTATGATAGATATTGAAAATTTGAACAATCAAGCGAACAACTAAAGTATCCATTAAGAACATACATGTGTTTATGTACAAAAATATCCCAGAGTCATCTCTCAGCTTGCCAAAGGATCATCACAACTATATCAGCATCAGTTTCTGAATCTGATTAGTTTAAAAAGTAACTGAGGTTCCCAGAAAAAAAGAAAGAAAGAAAGAAAGAAAGGGGGGAAACAGTGAGAAGATAAGAGAGGGATGGACTGTATAATAAATTGTTTCAAAAACACATTCAGTAGAAAGTAACTTACAGACCGTTAGCAACAAAATTTTAAAAGAGAAACAAATAGGACAGATCAAAGCAGTGCCCTAAAACTAGAAAATACTGACATATCAAAAGAAAATAGAGTGAGATGTAGCTGTGTACTTCCCCGGGTATGAGAAATATCAAAATGCCTACTCAACATACCATGCTCAACTAGTGTGGAGATCAAACAATGACTCACTCCAGTTTACCTGAAGAACTGATTTGCATGCTCCATCCTAACTTCTAAATCATTCTTGGGAACCCTCTCAATCTGTCATTCAGGCTTTCAATTTATTTAGGAGCAAGCACAGATCACTCCAACACTTAGGTGGTCACTTTCAAAGGACAATTATTTGTATGAGTAGTTGGAAGCGGTAAATCAGAGTACTAAATGTTTTAATTCAATAGAGAATCAAAATTTGAAGAAATGCATGAGAGAATACAGATAATAATCAAAAGAGAAATATAAAAGCAGGGAGAGAATAAGAAATAGTGGGGCTCAAAAAGGCGAAGCATGATCATCCCAATAGATACGAATTGAAGAAAATCCAAAAGCAAAAGCGCCAAGGTGCTCAAATAAACCATAAGGAAGCTTGTGCAGGAGCTTATCTCTAGTAAATGCCTTGGACCATAGCAACTTCTTGAACCGTATGAGCTAAAAGTAATAGCTACCAGAATGTTACTCATGTAATGGAACATAAGAATGGTGGTAATATACAGAACTCAAGCCATCGAAACTCCACCCTTCAGTTGTTTACCAGTAATGTCAACAAGCTCTTCAAACATGAAGGCCTGGTTTACCACTATAAACTAATGAAAAATGAAAAATATTGGCAATCCTATGGCAAACACAACCAATGCTACCAGCTACACACAACCCACGGCTCAGTCATAGAAGAAGCATCGACTAATTTTAGAAATTATTGAATGGAGAAAAGTAAGTTGCATATGACCTTAATTCAACTATTGCCCGTGTCAAGGACCGGAAGCCTGCAGTGGAAACTTATGGATTTATCGGTAACCCTTGTGCCTGGGATGAAGAACTGAAATATCATAGTCAAGCAAGCACCTTCTGGAGCAATACCTGCATGTAACCAAGGTTTTAAATATCGGATATCGGGGAAATATCGGATGGCCAAAATTCATATCGGATTACGGATATCAGGAAAATATCGGGGATATGTGGTAAATATCGGAATGCCATAATGAATGTTTGCATACATAGTATAATGCATTAAAATGTAATCTCAACATATGTAATGAAATTTAAACATACAAAATAATCTCAACATATGTAATGAAATTTAAACATACAAAATATGAATAATATATGTTTAGGATCACTAATCAATCTTCTAAAACAAACAAAAATGCAAAGCAACGTTGCAACATTCGATCTGCTTTTTTTAGGGCAAAATGTCATTTGATATAATGGGGAAATCTTGATATCTCGCCCAAAAATTCTAAACACGGTATATTATTTTGCAACAAGCTATATAAAAAGATATATTGGTCCACATATCGACTAATATATCGGCCATATCGGAGATTTATCACTCAAAATAGCCAAAAAAACGGTAAAGGATATTTAAAGACCATATCGGTTGCGGCAAGCCCTGTAAAAGGATATATCGGGGATATATCGGGCCATGTCGGGGATATTTAAAACAATGCATGTAACACAAAATTGGCTATGAAACCGCATTCTAGACACCAGTAACAAAAATGCATAAAACATCTTAACAAAAAAACCCACCATAAAACGCACAGTCGGGCTTTGCTAAATGGCATTGCAAGCTCTTTGCCAAGTGCTTCATGCTCACTTGCTGTCAGTATCCCCAAATCACAAATCACAAACACATGGAGAAACACAAGTTCAATTAGCAATAGCAATGAAAGCGTTACTTGCGTATAGACCCCTGTAGTTTAATTGTTGCGGATAGGACCCTGAGTGAAATTTTTTGACTCTTTTACCCTCTGGAGGTCTATTTATCAAGAAACAATTTTCTATTTCTCTAAGGATAAAAGAGTCGAAAACATTCAGTCAGGGGGTCTTCGGCGACAATAAAACTAAATGGGTCTATCTGCAATTAACCAGGAATGAAATAAAGCAAGTGAAGAAACTACGAACCACTGAAAGCGCTTGGCCTCTCTGGATAGCCATATCAGTGCGAGTTGGAGCGCTCAAGTTCTGATCTCCTGCTGGAGCATCAGCTGAAACAGATAACAAAGATAGATAATTCCTACCATTGAAGATTCCTATAGCAATCAAACTACTAGGACAAGAGACACTATTGTACCATGCACACCAAGGACTTTGAGTCTTCGGAACTCAGAGCCAACAGTGATGAGGGAGGTCGACACCTGAAGATGGAGGTCACCATATTGTGTGATAGCAACTGTGAGCAGATCACCCACATTCTTCAGCCTGTCTACTAAGTTCTGTAGCTGTGCTAGATCAGGAACCTGTACTAACGTCTGTTGCCAAATAGAGAATATTAGCAATTTGAGTGCAACCTAAAAAGGCAGAGAAAATAATAAGATGTTCTGTTGTAGTCTTGCAGATGTGTATGGCAATGGATGGACTATATAGAAAATAGTTTTCTATTAGAATTTTATAGCAAATAAAAGGTTATCAGAATTTTATAGCAAATAAAAGGTTATCTCATTTGAGAGTTCGAGTTTTATCTTAAGAAGAAGAAATTCTAGTTTATTTTTATTTTTGAACTAAATGCAAACATGNTGTAGGCAAATATTTAAAAAAACATTTGCCATGTCATAACTTTTGGACATGGATGATGAGCTTTCAAATTCAGCAATTCCTATTAACTAGCAACTTGTGATGTCAATTCTAAATCAAAGATGAGATGGGTATTCTACACGAGAATGTGGGCAGAAATAATTTCTTGTTCTAATTCATAAGGTATGGAAATGAACTTCTTCAACCCTGAAATGAGGACTCCAAAATGAGACCATATACTGTGACTTCTTTCTTTACTTCTTGTAACTATTGTAATTACCTTCCCAGTGAACTCTTGGTAACCTTGCCCTTCACCTCAAAAAGGAAAAGAGAGTTTGACTGCTTTAAGCAAGGAAATCATAACTTACAGGTAAGAAATAATTGATGCTTCTAATAAAAATGCCCCTTTGCAATGTTGATCGTGATAGGGATAAACTCAGAATAAAACTAATAATGATGAAATTTACTAAAGTTAGAGTTAGATGTAATAACAACTGGCAATAAACTTACAGTTACACTTCACATTCACGCCTAAAAATTGTAAGAAAAAGTTTCCTATGAACTTTTTCTCTTTGACACAATTTTCGAAATGGTTGGTGTGTATGATTCATATAGCATTAACCAAGTAAAAAAATGAAACCAACAGGAGAAAAACAAATGACCCACAGAACTGAGACAAAAACTCAACCTACATTGTTACCAGCGACATCCATCTAGTTTTGCCCAAGAACAATCATGTCAACTACTCACAAGATACTGAATCTCATGTATGATCAACTACAACTGATGTCTGGTTCGCCGCCGACACAATGCAAGCCTTCACTTCCATGTAATTGTTGTCACCCACATCATATAGTCATTATATTTATCTGGTTCACTTTAGAATTTTACAATTTGTAATCACAGTTTTGGGGGTGTCAAGATTTTTTAATGACTTTTATTAGGGATTGATTTCAATTGGAGTTGCGGATTAAACTCTTTTCCATGCTCAAAAGGTTGCAATTACGACTTAGGCTCAACTAAAGGGCCTTTCACACTTAAAATTCACACCCAAAAAATGTCAGAAATGTTTCCTTGTGGACTTCTCCTCTTTGATGCAATTCTGCAACTAGTTGGCGTGCACCATCATCATAATACCAACCAAGCGAAAATCACTAGCACAAACGTAGCACTCCTCTACATTTCGCCAACTGGGCTCATGTCAAAAATCACATTAACCATCAAATCACAAACCTGCGGCAAGTCCTGAGCAGCATCCAGCTGCCCATGCTGCCCCACCTCCGCCCTCGACAGTGGCTTCGAGATGGGCACATCCTGAACCACCCGCAGACTTCAGCCCCTTCGTCTCGAACGTCAGTACGGGCGCCGGGCTGGTGGACCCCGCGGGTCAGCTTCTTCACGAGCTTAATCTGGATCGCCGCCGTCTCTCCACTGCGAACCGAGCCTGCACCGCTGCGGCGCTGCTGCACGCGCGTGGAGGATGGCGGCGTCGACGAGGAAGGGCGATGCGGTCGTCGCAGTTGCTGGAGATGCGGAGTCGCGGAGAGAGGAAGTCGTTCTGAATTGGGCGGATGGATTGGACGCCGTCGCCGCTGAGGAGGTTTGTGAGGATGACGCGCTGTGGCGGGGTCCTCGGTCCTCGTCAGGTAGAGGTGGCACGTGCGGCCGATCTTGTCGAGGGATGGGAGGAAACCTGAGGAAAATTTTTGAGATTTGAGGGGGGATTAGGGCTTAGGGTTTACGTAGTTAGAGAGAGAGAGGAGGAGGAGATTTAGGGTTTTACGTTTGTCGAGGAGAGCGACGCCGTCCAGAGTGAGGAATGCTTTGAACTTCATTTCTCCTGCTTCCCTCGACTTCACTTGACGGACCGCGAGCAAGCCCCTGCTTTTGAAACTTCAACTAAAGTTGCGCTAAAATCTTACCGGGCCTTGAGTTGGTTTGCTCAGACGATTGCTAGTAGGGGTGCCGAACCGCATCCGTATCCGATGAAATAACCGTGATCGTATCCGTTAAGATACGGATATGGTTACTCAAAACTATAACCGATAGAATATGATTACGGATATGGTTTTGTAGTGAAATATCCGTATCCGTATCCGAAAATATCCGAATACATATTGGTCATACTCTTACGATAGTTTCGATTCTTAGATTATGAATTTGTGGTTAATTTTGATGATCAAGATGTCTAATCTTAGCTTTTCAATCATAATGAATATATTAACGAACTCTTTTTGTATCATATGACTATATTTTTCTGAATACTATCTAGTTTTCTCATATTCTTTTTGTATCTGCATGCATATCCGTTTATATATCCGCATCTATATCCGTAACCGTATCCGATTTTGGCGGATATGGATATGAATTTTTCTTACCGACATATATCTGTATCTGTAGACTGTATCCGTATCTGAGATGGGTAAACGGATATGGATATGGTAAGTGCTATATCTGAGCCGTATCCGCTCCATTAACACCCCTAATTGCTAGGTGAAATTTAGTCCCTCAATCTCTATATTTTGAATTAGCCCCCTCAAATCTTTGAAGTGCGCTAAAATTAGCCAGTTAGCATCGGGTTAATACATGTGGGGGACTAATTCAGAACGCTTAACATACTTAGGGGACTAATTTAAAACATATGAAGGCTTGTGGGCTAATTTCAAAATACTTGGAGATTTGGGACTAACTTCGAAATATGAAAGATGTGGGAGACTAAATAGTCTAAATTGGAGAACCTATTCTAAAATTGAGCTGCGCAGGTTAGTTTTGTGGTTGGGTGGGTTCGAGTGGAAAGTTGGAGATTAACAATTTGATGGTGTGTTCGTTGTTTTCATTGGTGGAGTCATCTATGGCTGATGTTTTAGATTGATCGGTGTTAAATGAGTTTGGTCCTCGTACTCTTTGATCAAATTGGTGTTACTTATTAGATGCTACTTTGGTTAAAATAGATCTGCCGCTGCTAGCCTCTATGTAGCTCCATCGCTAGCTATAATATAACCTAAATATTAGATATATGTGAAAATTTTATTATTGTTGATTTATATAGTTCATGTTTAAAAGCATCACAAGTCATAAGCCGGAAATTGTATTCTAGGAGTGATATTCTTTTATTTGGATTAGCTTTAGAAATACGTGGCCCATGAAATTCAAATTTGGATTACTCTAAAATCATATCAAAGATCTTGTCGCTACACTTAAACTTTGGAGTTATGATGAGGGTTAAATGTTATAATTTTCTAGTTGACATAAAGTAATAATTGATAGGGAAAAATGTTTCAAGGCCCCAAAACAAAAAAGCGGATGTGGGCAGGCCCCCTGTATTTTTTTTGGTTTAGCCTTTCAGCCCAAAAAATTGTGAAAAAATTGGTGGCCAGACCCAAAAGCCCCATACGTATATCGATGCAAGTGGCTGCTGTACTTCTTGTTGCTTCACTCCCGAAAATGGGCCCGCTCATCTCTCTCAACAGAAAGAACCCGGACTGAATGGGTTTCTCTCTTTGTTTTCGGGTGATCTCTCCCAACGCATTTATGACAGACGGTGACGGGGAAACGCCGGGGGGAAAAAAGCGCCGGCTCCGCGCCATTTATTGTCGTGCATTCAATCTCATCTTTGTTAAAATTGGTTAGTTTTTATCTCGTCACTCTCTCATTAATGAAATTAGGGGTTTTTTTTCAACTGTTCTACAGCCCTTATTTGCACTGAAATCATCTTCTCTCTTCGGCAATTCTGCTCCGACATCCTCTGAGGATGAGGAGAGTAACGAGGCGACGGAAACCCTATTGAGCATGAAAAGTCTGGATATTCGCGAAAGTAAGAGGAGACGCTCGCTGGAGGATGTGTCCATCTCAAAGAAGAAGTAAGTTCCCAAGCAATTGAGGGATTTTGAATTTAATTAGTGTAAATGAGTGATTTTGATTTTAATTGAGGTTTATGGGTTCTTTTTTTGAATAAAATGGTGGTGAGAGACTGGTTATTGTAGTGTAGAACCAGTTTCGTAATTTTGGAGTAAGATCTGAACAATACGAAGTGTTATCAGTTTGGAACAAATGAATGTAAATAATTCTCATTTGTTGATAGCTAGTTGCAATGCATGTCAATAAATCTTGGTTGTTGTTAACGTTTATGCATAAGTGTCAAGTATTAGCTATTCATGTTAATAAAACGAAATTTTGACTCAGATAATGCCTTTACGGTTAATTGTTACCTACTTTGGAGTTGAACGACTTGTTAAGAGTAAATAGTTGTTTATGCAGGAAAGCTACAGCCGAAGGTGATATACGGCCTAGTGCCTGTCTTGGATCATATTGTACTTTCATGCAAAGACTTCAACCAAAACTGAAGCAGTGGCATTGGGATGCCTACAAGGGCAGTAACTTTGAGCACTATGTATTCTTCGGACCTCCAGCACGTGATCGACGGGCACTAGAGCATGTGCTCAGCCATTATGTTGGCGAAACTGATGAATTCTCTTTTTCTGATCCCATAAGCGGGACTATATTTTCAGTCCAATTTGATGAAGAGTGGGTGCAAACTCACACGGGCTTCCCTATTGATGGGGAATTGATCTACGGGAATAGACACCCGCACAACCGGCTTTGGAGGGAATATTTTGAAGAGAAGAAAGAAATGCTAAAGGCAAAGTCAAAGGCGAAGGCCAAGGCCACAGAAGAAGCTGGTAGCATGAGGAGATATGTTGAGGAGTTACTGGAAACACTGGTTGAGTCTTCTGAAAATAAGGACATTGAGGATTTTGTGCTGCTTCAGATCTTGTACCAGTGTGCAATGATTTGGTGCCCCAACAGCTCACAAGGCATTCCAAGACAGTTGTTTCAATATGTAGATAGTATTGAGAGAGTGAAGAACATTGCGTGGGGTAAAATTATTTTTGATGAGACGAAGAGAGGCATTCAAATTGCCGTTGAAGGGTTGAGGAAGCCAGGGGTTACATACGTACCTGGATGCATGCCGCTCATCCCTGTAAGTTGCATGACCAACTGGTCTGACATTTGTTTTAGTTAACATTAGTCTTGGTAACAGGCATTAGAAAACATGTACAATATTAAATGTTTACAGAATATGGTTAAAATTAACATGTTAACATGAACTTTAACATATAAAAATTAAAGTTAACATCAATAGGTGAAAGTTAACATGTTATCATGAACTTTAACATATAATTATTAAAGTTAACATTAATAGGTGAAAGTTAACATGTACCCATTAATGTTAACATGTTTTGGTGAAAGGTAGCTATTTAGAGTGTAGTTGAAGAATGAGTTCTGAAAGTTAACTATTTTGATATTCGTTCCTTCGATTCTGACAGCTATGGTACTATGAGATGACTGGCATTAAAAAACCAGCCCTAAACTTGAGATGGAAGCCTCCGATGACCAATTGGGTAAGGCTTGCATGTGAATCTCCGTACAACCAATATTTCGATTGTGCTCCAACATGCACTTCAAATCATCATCGTTGTCAACTGAAAAACTGAGGTTGGGGTGCCTCTCAGATTTAAATATAAAGGATAAAGCTTCTTTAGGTACTTTCAATCTTTCAGACACATCAAATTGGAGTTCATCAAAGCTTGTTGTCGAACTTAGCTTCACGAATATGGCATTCTCGCCTAAAGAAACCATGCAAATCAAGTCATTGACGGCCATTAGGGGTGGTTGAAAGTTATGAGGACAGTTATGAAGGCAATTATGACGAGTTGAGGAGTAATTGAGGGGATTTCAGGTGCAAAAGGGCTGTAAACAGTTGAAAAAAACCCTAATTTCATTAATGAGAGAGTGAGAGATAAAACTAAAAGAGAGAAGATGATTTCAGTGCAAATAAGGGCTGTAGAACAGTTGAAAAAAAATAACCTCCTAATTTCATTACATGAGAGAGTGACAGAATAAAAAACTAAACCAATTTATAACAAAGGATGAGATGATGACGACAATGAAATGGCGGGAGCCGTGCGCTTTTTTCCCCCCGGCCGTTTCCCGCGCTCACTCGTCTGTCATAAATGCGTTGGGAGCAGATCACCCGAAAACAAAGAAGAAACCCATTCAGCCGGTTTTTTCTGTTGAGAGAGATGAGCGCGGCCCATTTTCGGGAGGAAGCAACAAAAGTACAGCACCCACTTGATGATATAACGTATGGGGCTTTTGGCGTCTGGCCACAATTTTCATCCAATTTTTTGGCTGAAAGGCTAAGGCAGTTAATTGGGGGGGCTGGGCCACATCCGCTTTTTTGTTTTGGGGCCTTGAAACATTTTTCCCTAATTGATACGTTAACTTGTTTTTTGTAAAATATATGTATTTCATAGTAAGTCCGAAAAGCATCTTTCTGTACCTACATGCATAAGGATATTGTTCGTTAATCGAACTAAGAGAAGAAGAAAGAGGATTTCTATGAGGGAGGCTCCGACAATGGGTAAGGAGATTTATTTTCTTTTCTTCGTTGTTGTGTTCTCAAGGAGATTGATCCTCCTTTTATAGGGGCTAAACCCACCATCTCCACCCCCTTCATATTCGCCCCATGAGAGATTTCCTCTCAACAAACACACGTTTCCAAGATTTTTGTAACAGAGAAATGAACGTTGATTTGGTCACTGAAGACCGATTCAAAGTAACATCTCCCACTTGACCAAATCAACCAAGTGATATGTCTTCCACTATCCATGAGATCAGATGTTTCTCCTTACCATTACTCCCACTATCCGTGGAGAGTAACTCTTATTTCATTATTCATGAAATTTTACTCGGACTTATTTATTCCTAAGTCCCATCAAACTTACATATTTGATAAAAGATTTCGCTGGTATTACTTTTGTCAAAGGATCAACAATCATATTTGTAGTAAGGATATAAGTCACTTTGACTTCTCCCTTTTCTATAATATCTCAAATATAATGATACCGGATCTCA